TAACTTAGAAATCTAAGAAACTAAGCAAAAGAAGTAAGTAAATTGGGCATGTATATGTATGAAATTATGAGCTTAACAGTAACTCTTCGCCATAACTTTTCATTTGATTAATTAGATCAAATAGTTTAGCAACATAAACAGAGAATGATTCATTATCCTTCATACGAGTGTATTCAAACTCTCTACGTAAGCCTTGTAGCTTCACACTTCGTACCTATTTATCGCCTCTAAACTCCTGCTTCAGAATATCCCATGCACCTTTTGAGGTTTCTTCATTCACTATTCTGGGAAAAATTTGGTCTGAGACTGCACCTTGGATCAATCCAAGTGCACGAGCATCTTTCATCAAAATCTCAGCCGATGTAGACTTCTCTTCTTCAGCAGCTTTAGATCCTTCTTCCTTTCCTTTTTCCTTCTTTGGATCTGAAACATCAAAACCATTTTCAACCAAATCCCACAGACCATGAGATTTCAAAATGGTCTTCATTCGAATGCTCCAAAACTCATAGTTTTCTCCATTGAAAATTGGTGTACGAAGCTCAGAAGAGCTTGATCCTGCCATGTTAGACATCAGATGTAGCTAGAAAAACTTCGTGAAGTTTTGAGTGAGCTCAACGTCAGCTCAGCCAAACACCAGCCCTCAATTCTCACAGATTCACGCCCAGCAAACAATCGAACCAGGCTCTGAGGCCATGTTAGAATTCTATGTTTTTATATAAATTTGCAGATTAGGAAAGGTGTATATTCTGGAGATTTTAGCTAGAGAGAATGAAGAGAAAATGAGGAAGGCACTGTTCTATTGAATTCTTACAATCTGCAGCTTACATAGTGTGTGTGACAGAGAGAGAAATGTGATTCTCTTCTAACAGAATTACAGCTGTCACCCTATGAGGTGATTACACTTGTCATACCAAATCTAAGCTAGAGAATCCACCTAGACTATGATCTAATGGCTCTCATTACATCATTTAAAATAGACATAACAGAAATAGAAAATGACCTCAGCTCTAAGAAATCTGCAGAAGGATTATATTTCAACAGTACCTTGCTTTCCAGAAGGGCTTCAGTTGCTTTCAGCTTTTCATCCACCGTGTTTAGTTCATCTGTCAACTGGAATCATTAACCAACAGAAACATAATCAGATAGTCCCAGTTCTGATTGAAAATAAAGTTTCTCCTTTGTAATAAAGAGTAATACATTGATACGTAAAACTCAACATGGTTCTTAAAATCTTGATAGTTTTGTAATAAATCTAAAATTATCTCACTCAGAAGAAGACATCAATAAAAAATCGAGCAGAACAAAACTGAGAATAACAATATGGCTATAATCATGTGATAAAGGAGATATTTTCTTAATTTTTTTAATAAAATAATATCTCCTCCAAGTTGCAGGGATTTTTCAAAATTACGTTTCAAGTTCTCTTTTTTTTGGAAATTTTGCTTCTAAAGTTTTGCTTAAAACTGACACAGACAGTTTTACCATTGCTAAGACTCTTGTAATAATTTAGGTTTCAAGTCTTTCATTGGAAACGGCATTATAAAATTTTCACCATGTCTAAGTCCAAAAGGGTGGGTGTTCTAGTCATCCACCTGTTTGTTAAGTCAAGCTGCTGGATATAATAGTCAAGATTTTAAAGCAATAAAATGTTAATCCATCACAATAGAAGAAAATGATTATAAAAGTATTAAAAATAGACTAAAACATTAGAAGCTCAAAACATCCATTCACAACGTGGCAATTGAATAAGTAGGGTTATCTTGATAAATTTTAGAAGCTCTAACAAATATGAAATATCTTGAATAAGTAGGGTTATCTTGATAAAAATATAAAAAATAGACTTGTTGGCACCATGTTGACCTCACCTTCCCCCTTAAGCAAACCCCACTAATTAAGGCTCGGCTCGGCTCGGCCTTATTATCTCCACACGTGTGATCAGCTCGGCCTCACCACCTCCAACAAATATGTACTCGGCTCGGCCAAATACTGGTTTTACTTGAAAGTCCTCAGCCAAGAAGCTCTTCTCGGTTGTGAACTTGGAGGCTTCTGTTGACCTCACCTCCCCCCTTAAGCAAATCCCACCAATTAAGGGATAGCCCTTCTTGTCATAGGTCACATCCCACCAAACAAGGAGTAGCTAGCCATGCAAAGGTCCCAACCATCAATCAACCTTGTCTACTCCAACTTGGGCTATAAAAGAGAGCTCACCACCTCCAAGCAAGGGGACGATCAACTGCGACTTCTTCACTTCTTCAAGAGCTGTCTAAAGCTCTCACAAGCTTTCTATTTCTCTTCTACTAGAGCTCTCAAGCCTCTCTTCCCACTCTCTCATGTACAATGTAATCTCTATATTCAAATACAAATGCAAAGCTATAAACTATAGTGGATGTAGCCCCATTATGGGTGAACCACTCAAACACTTGTGTTATGTGTGTGATTATGTCTTAATCCGTTAGGTACAAATTCACCCGTTAACATTTGGCGCCATCTGTGGGAAACACAGCAAAGATTCCTGTCGCTCTCACCATTTTGTTACTGACTGTGAAGCACCTTGAGCAACCAAGAGGTCCACCAAAAAATCTGTTCTGATTGGAGGCAGCCCCTCATCTCTTGGTCTGAACAAGGCCTGTGATGCATGAAGAATGCCCTTCTCTGTCACGACACACCCAACCTGTTGCTCCAGCCAAGCAATTATGAAGACATCCATGTGTCTCATCTGCCAAAACTTTTCAAGATAGGTTTTACCATTGTTGGACTTGGGGACTTCTCTCCAAATACAAACACCCAGTCGGCAACCTCATCCATTTCTCCAGGCATGATCAGTACCATGTGCCTTCCACCTCCTCAATTCCATGCTCCTTTGTGCTGGGTCTGAGACCATTCGAAGAAGATGAGAAATCTCTTCTCTCATTTAGTGATTTTACAATAAAATAATATCTAGATATAAATATCTAAACATAAATATCTAGGTATGATATCTCAACTTAATATCTGTGATGGGCTGTCATAACATGATATCTAATGATATTATATTGTTATTATGTGTCGGTACATGAACCAAGTTACGACCACCTTGCATGGTCGACCCGACCACCTTGCATGGTCAACCCGACCACCTTGCATGGCCGACCCGACCACCTTGCATGGCCAACCCGATCATCATGGATGAGCACCGACCACCTTGCATGACCGACCCGACCATCATGGATGAGCACCGACCACGTTGCATGGTTGCCCACCACCTTGCATGGCCGACCCAACCACTATGGATGAGCACCAACCACCTTACATGGTCGCCCGCCACCTTGCATGGCAGACCCGACCACCATGGATGAGCACCGACCACGTTGCATGGTCGCCCGCCACCTTGCATGGCAGACCCGACCACCATGGATGAGCACCGACCACGTTGCATGGTCGCCCGCCACCTTGCATGGCAGACCCGACCACCATGGATGAGCACCGACCACGTTGCATGGTCGCCCGCCACCTTGCATGGCAGACCCGACCACCATGGATGAGCACCGACCACGTTGCATGGTCGCCCGCCACCTTGCATGGCAGACCCGACCACCATGGATGAGCACCGACCACGTTGCATGGTCGCCCGCCACCTTGCATGGCAGACCCGACCACCATGGATGAGCACCGACCACGTTGCATGGTCGCCCGCCACCTTGCATGGCAGACCCGACCACCATGGATGAGCACCGACCACGTTGCATGGTCGCCCGCCACCTTGCATGGCAGACCCGACCACCATGGATGAGCACCGACCACGTTGCATGGTCGCCCGCCACCTTGCATGGCAGACCCGACCACCATGGATGAGCACCGACCACCTTGCATGGTCATCTATAACGTCGGACTACCGACCCGACCACCTCGCATGGTCATGTACCACGTCGAACTACCGACCCGACCATCTTGCATAGTCATCTACAATGTCGAACGACCCACCCGACCACCTTGCATGGTCATCTATCACGTCGAACGACCGACCTGACCACCTTGACCATCTCGCATGCTCAATTTCCATGTCATATTACTCACATGGACGACTTGAGGACTTTGTATGGTCACTCACCACTTTGTCACCTAGCATGGCTGACTACCAACTTGCATGACTGACCACCTTGCATGGTTGATTCTCCAAGAAACAAAAGCTCTCTCTACAAAGGCACACGTTAATCGACTCGGGTGATGACTATCTCAACGCAAGTAAGGGGTTACGCATACCTATTTTTATCTAAATTACCAACTAGTGTGCATTATCATCGTACCGTCATGTCATAACATATATACAAATCCATTACATCGCCATCATTACATGGCATACATCGCCGTCATTTCATGGCAAACATGGCAACCATGACATGACATGCATCGCTATAAGAACATGGCATACATCGCCATCATTACATGGCATACATGGCCGTCATTTCATGGCATACATGGCAACCATGAAACGACATACATTGCCTTTGTGACATGGCATACATCGTCATCAAGTCATCACATACAACACCATCATCACAACATTAGGTGATATTTGCTTGGCTCAGCCTTGCTATCTTTATATATGAGCTCGGCTTGGCCACACCATTTCCATATATGTGTTCGGCTCGGCCATATTATCTCCATATATATGTGTTCGGCTTGGCCTTATTATCTTCATATGTGAGCTTGGCTCGGCTAAACTATCCCCAATATGTCTTGCCATGCTTAAAGAGAGAAAATTATCTCCATATGTGTGCTCGGCTCGGCCTCAACACCTCAACAAATATGTGCTCGGCTCGGTCAAAAACTAGTTTTGCTAGAAAGTCCCCAGCCAAGAAGCTATTCTCGACTGTGAACTTGGGGGCTTATGTTGGCACCATGTTGACCTCACCTTCCCCCTTAAGCAAACCCCACTAATTAAGGCTCGGCTCGGCTCGGCCTTATTATCTCCACACGTGTGATCGGCTCGGCCTAACCACCTCCAATAGATATGTGCTCGGCTTGGCCAAATACTGGTTTTACTTGAAAGTCCCCAGCCAAGAAGCTCTTCTCGATTGTGAACTTAGAGGCTTTTGTTGACCTCACCTCCCCCCTTAAGCAAATCCCACCAATTAAGGGATAGCCCTTCTTGTCATAGGTCACATGATCACATCCCACCAAACAAGGAGTAGCTAGCCATGCAAAGGTCCCAACCATCAATCAACCTTGTCTACTCCAACTTGGGCTATAAAAGAGAGCTCACCACCTCCAAGCAAGGGGACGAACAACTGCTACTTCTTCACTTCTTCAAGAGCTGTCCAAAGCTCTCACAAGCTTTCTATATCTCTTCTACTAGAGCTCTCAAGCCTCTCTTCCCATATCTCTCTCATGTACAATGTAATCTTCATATTCAAATATACAAAGCTATAAACTATAGTGGATGTAGCTCCATTATGGGTGAACCACTCAAACACTTATGTTATGTGTGTGATTATGTCTTAATCCGTTAAGTACAAATTCACCCGTTGACAAGACTAGAACATTAGAAGCTCTAACAAATATGAAATATCGTTTCTTTCCTTAGCAAGAAAATGCGGCTATGAATTCAGAAGAAATTGGTTTCCAAAAAATACGACGAATTGGTCAATTTGATGAAATAAAATCACTCAAATTCAAACAAATAAAAAGTTATTTTTGAACAAGAATACTGATAGAGTATCCTTAATTCCTTAGTTGCCACATTTTCCAGGAAACCAAACAGGAAATAAGCAGAAAACAACTCAAAACAAAACAAAATTTAAATTATCTGTAAACTTTGACAACTTTAGAAAATATTGAACTCTAAAATTATTTTATCGTTCCCTTTCAAATTTTTATTTTTATTTTAAAAATGACTAAGATTATAAGGACTAAAAATCCACATTTTCTTAACTTAAATTATTATTATTATTTTTTTGGTCGTAATCATGGATTTCATTCAAAAGCACAACAAAAGTGTGCAACAGAGGAATTACAAAGTTGCCGAAGCAAACCAGAAATAGGAAACAAGACAAGAGAAAGACAAAGCTACAGCCAATTCCAAAGCCTAGCATGATTTCTTTCCCTCGAACACCACCCAGGTCCCTTAAGGGGG